GGGGGTAAGGGATGCTTGTTCAAATACAGATTTATAGGCTCCCTCACTGGAGAGAAGGTTATGTGTTGGGCCCAAACACTTTGACAAGTGATTCAGGTAGGGTTAGTCCACTGGCCAGGTTTGGAGATGCCCAACTTTCGAGGCTTTTCTAAATCCTTTGGGCAAAATTGACAGCCATTTATATACATAGTATTGTGATAGGCAGTTAGACAGACATGAGCAGAGCAAGGGCGATGGACCAGGTACAGAAGGTCACCAGGGCAGAAAGCCGAGGATGTCTAGCAACAGGCAAAACTGGGAAAATAAAGACCTTGTACCCAGGTAACCTTTCCTCCCCTAGCACATTACTGGTCAGCAGTTTAGACCCCTTGACCTTTCCTCCCTGAGGATAACATCTCGGCCTCAGTTGTATTTCTGCCCCAGACCCAGAAAAGCAGCAAAAACAGACAATTGAATCCTTGGCTGCCTCAGGACCAGCTGTATTGATTAATGACATCTCTGCTCTGGCACTGACCAGTCAGTGGAGACAAGGACCCTGAAAAGACACTCCTGGAAAGCTGATAAATATTATATTGAAATCCTGCCCTGGGACATCCCCTAAAATCTCCATGCTGAAAACACCTTAGAACAGAGGACCCAGGGTGCTCTCCTTCCTGGGAGCACATCCAGGCCTTTCCCCTCCCTCTCCCCCTCTTTTTCCCTCAGGCACACTTTCCTTGCCTCTTTCTTTCTCCTAGGCTCTAAGGGCCTTTTTCTTTTCCTCTGTATCTTATTCCTGAGCCCATTTCTTCTGCTTACTTCTACATCTATGACTTTCTAAATAAAGTCTCTCTTAATATTTTCCGTCTTTGCTCTCAGTTCTTTCCTATCTGGAACACAAGTACTGAGGTTGCTGAACTAGGGTCCGGTCTGACCCCATGGGTCTAACATCTGGTGTCATTCTCACTGCCACCAACAGAATGTTTTGATTTTGAATTTTGGAATGTTTTAAATACAAGTTCAAGTGTTCAACACAAATAAAAGAACCTCAAAACTATTTTTACAGATCAGAGATTACAGCCCTTTCATTATTTAGATGGGGAAACTGAGGTTCAAAGAGGTCCAAGGCCACAGCTTGCTAACGACAAAGCCAAGACTCAAACCAAGCTAGGACTCTCATTCAACAATAATCCAAAGTTCTTCTTGTGTTCCAGACTCTTACAGGAAGTTGCAATCTATAAAGAAGCCTTCCCACCTTACTGACACTGGTGTTTATGCATACACCTTGCTGGGCAACAGATGACTGTTACTGAGACTTGTAGGTGAAGGGCTGGGGCCCAACAGACAAGCTAGGTGCTCTGGGTTGTCTAAGTCAAGGCTCACTGTATTTTAAGCTATTAGGGGAATTAACGATTCAGGAGCATGTGGAGCACCCACCTCTACCTTCCATAGGGTTGGAATCTTCTAGAGATGCTGTATATAGTGAAGGAGGGAAATGGCTATTTTTTAAAGATGGTGGTAGGTCCCTAGGAGTTCATTTTACTATTTATTATTCCTTAAATAGCATAACCTCATTATATTTACTTTGTAAAATGATTTTATAATACATCTCACATTTTAAAATATTTCATAATAAAAAATTTTCATAAGGAAACAAGATGTGGGAGGGAAGACAAAGACCAGTAAGTGTGGTGAAGCTGCGACTTGAGAGAAGTGGGAGGTGAGCAGACATGATCAGCATGGTTTGTCTGACTTGTGCCGTACCATGGTAGCTGTCCCCAAATTTTGGTTCTCATTGTCATATGAGGAGTTGGAATCATATCTCACACTCTATACTCAGAAAAATGCTAAATATTAGAAATGCAACCAAAATTGAAAAAAATGGGAGATAGTTATTTTGTAACTTCCGAGTGAGGAGGACTTTTAAATTATAATTCAAAATCCAGAAGTCACAACACAAAGACTGGTAAATATGAGTACAAAAAATAAAAATCTTCATGGAAAGAGAACTCATCCACAAACTTAAAAGACAAACAAGAAAACTGGGAAAAACCTTTATAATCACACCACAAATAATGCGCTCATTTCTCTATTATACAATTAAAAAAAACCCCTAATAAACCGATGGAAAAAAATAAATGTTGACGAAAAGACCACGATTGAAACAAACAAAACCATACCTGTGGCTAAAATGGGGAGACATAAAAAATGTGTCTTTTCTGATATGTACTAAAATTGAACATACATTCTATAGCTTAGTGCTTCCAGTCTTGGGTATACAGCAAGAGAAATGTACTCACTTGTGCAACAAAATACGTGTGAAAATGCTGTTTGAAACATTACACATTACACAGCCTCATTGGGACACTACACAAATGTTCATCAAGACTTGGAGAGACAGAAGAATTTGTGCTGTATCCCCACAATGAAATTCTATACAGCAACGAGAATGAGAGAACTGGAATATGCAACCATCTCATAAACAAAACGCTGAAAAAGAAAATAGCCAAACCCTCCCCACCACCATATGGGATGTTTTTACTTACATGTTGGAATAACAGGCAAAGAGAATCTACTTTGGAAGAGAGGATGGTCCACACAAAATAGTGACTGGAGGAGGCTGTGGTGGTAGGGGGTAGGTTCTGGCAATTTGGTGACGTCTTGTTAATTGACCTTGAGGATCAGTTTGTACAAAGTCGTCGAACAGTAAACTCAATATTTACATCGTTTTCTGCATTTTCAGCTTTGTAAAACATTTTGAAAAATGATTGGAAGCCAGGATGAGCAGTGTGTCAATGAAGTTTGGATAAGGAATGGACTCAACATCTAAATAAATTCTGTCCTAGCCCCTGCCAAGATACCAAAGAGATTCCAGAGACTGAAAGGACAAACTGCTATCAGCCAAAGCTCTTGGGAAATTATGCAGAGACCTGGGTTTGGTGGTTTAGAGGAGGCCCCCTTGGCACCCCCAGACACAAAGGAGTTTCGAGGCCCTTGCATTGGGCCTGCGGGAACAGCCCAGAGGACAAGGCTATGGATCAGGAGAATGTACTATAGTAACATTTTGCTTTTCAGGAATTCCTGGTGATTGGGACAATGGACGTAAGCTAATTTTCTGGATAAGTAAAACTTTCCTCATTAAACAACTCTTTCATTTAAAGCAGACTCATTTTTAACGAAACCCTTTCAAAAATGCATTTCACACATCCCTGATATTTTGGTAAGTCCACGGAATAGAATTTAACCTTTACACCAAATTACAGCAGTAACAATTAGGCCTTCTCTTTATGCCAGGCAATTTCTAAAATGTTTTCTTGCACATTTTCTCATGAAACCCCTGTGAATTAGTTCCCAGTATTATTCTCATTTATGTATGAGATTGAGAGCCATTAAAACACTGTCCAAGTTCATACAGCAAGTAACAGCAAGGAAGAAGGAGATGCATATTCTAGCTTCACAGCCTGAACTAACCACTGTGCTCTCTTCTCTTTACGGCTTCAGTTATTTTGCATATGCTATCACAATGCCACAGGTACTCAAGAATATTAGGTATAACTGTACAGAGATTGAGTTCTCATTGCTTTTCTCTTTGTATTGCCTTTCTCCTTTATCAAAGTTACACTGTTTGTTTTCACATAAAACCATACCCCCAAACTCCTACTGTAAAATCGGCTAAAAATCTGTAGCATTGTGTTTTTACCACTTTAAACAAACTCTCAATCTTCTTAGATCTTTCTGTTAAGAGAGAGAGAGGGGGGAAGGAAGGAAGGAAGGAAGGAAGGAAGGAAGGAAGGAAGGAAGGAAGGAAGGAAGGAAGAAAAAAAGAAAGAAAGAAAGAAAAGAGCCCCAAAATGGAGTTTCTTATGCCAAGCCCAACATCGGCAAACCAAGACTTGATTGCAGTTTCAGCTTCTCCCCAGGAATGTGACCTTTAACCAGTCAATCTGGAATTACCTGGTCAGCACTAGTGGGGTAATCTGCCTGCCTACATGCCCCTCCCCAGAGGAAAGTGATCTGGCCTGAAATGGTCTACTCTTTGCTAGAAATTACTTTTCCTGCCCTCTTCTGCCTATAAAAACCTTCCATTTTGTACAGATCCTCAGAACTCCCTTTTAGTTGCTAGATGGGATGCTGCCCATTTAATGAATCACTGGATAAACCCAATTAGATCTTCAAATGAACAGTGGGGGTTCAGAATGAATCACCCCAAGATGTCCCACTCTGGCATACAGATTATTTTGAGCTAAAAACAACTGAGGCCCAGAAGGCTCAGGATGAAACTTTGTCCCCCGCCTTACCACCCCAAAGAATTTAAGATAAAGAACCTGCTCTAAAAAGGGAGATATCATCATAGGTAACTACAGTTTAATATGAACTTGGTGCAGCAGACAAAGAGGAACCTACCAAAACTCATCTGATCAAAGTCCTTCTTCCCTGTGTCCCACTGTTTCAAGATGGCTCAGTAAACATTTGTTTATTAAACATTAACTTTTTTTCATCCCCTTGTAAACTGTCTTACTTCCCTTTGAAGTCCTGGACCCCTACTCCCTACTCCTTAGTCCAGAATGACACATATACTTCCCTTTGCCTCACTGTCTTTGGAATTCTTATGCTTATGTGAATTTCCTGTGCACATGTACTAAACTTGATTTTCTCCTCTTAATCTGCCTTATGTCATTTTAATTATTCTCCCAGCCAGAAGAACTCAGTTGAATTTTGTTTTTTTAACATTTCTATTTGGGTAAAATAGCCCATGGAGTTGGACCAACTTCTTTATCAGTTTAAGAAACCCCACTGGTTCTCTGCACTTCACAGTGTACTGGATTTGCTTTTCCTTAACACAACTCAGAAGGAAACCTGTGATGCTCATCAGGTTAACAAAAGCAGCCCCTAACTGGGGTCCATCTCAACTGCATAGCTCTCTAATGGGGGCAGATAAGCACCAATGCATGCAGAGAATAATTTTCTATAAGGTTTATCAGCTGACAGGCCTGCAGAGAAAAAGAAACCAACATCCTTACCCTGTTTTCAAGCTGACCAAGGCGTCCTCTACTCCCTTCTGATTAAATTTGGTCATGTACTGATGCATGTAGGGGTAGTTATTCCGAATGTTTCTTTCGGTACTGCCGTTAGGCACTGTGCCAAATCGAAAAGGTGGGGAATAGTCATGAGGTCTCTGAAACTGGAGAGAGAGAGACAGAGACAGACAGAGAGAAAGATAAAAAAAGGAGAAACAGGAGGAGGAAAAGAAGTCAGCCATCACCTTACCTTGTGTGAATTAAACATATGCATGCATTAACACAGCAAAAACACAATCATTTTTGTGCTTCTTAATCACATCTTCCACTGGTCTGTGAGCTCCAGTGTCTTGTTCCATGCTGTTCCTGAGTACATACTGACTGAATATGCAAAAGATACCTGTTGGACTGAATTTTTTCATGCCATTATAGACAGTAGTCTAGTGGTAGGCACTGGGGAACTGGAAGAGCTCAGGAAATGCTGGTTGAGCAGGAATGAAGTTATTTTAGTTCAGTTAACTTATCCATCTTATGATGAAATCTGTGATCCTCACCAATCACTGCCTTGTGTCAACTCCATTTACAACGACCTTCACCTCACCCAGAAAATGAGGAAGGGAAGCAGAATTTGCCAACCCAAAATATGTTTCTTTGACACAAGGATTATTTGGGGGTGGTTACTTTTAAGAAACAGCAGACACAGGTGTAGCTCTGAAAACCAAGTAGAAGTTAACCCTTTTGTGAGAGATATTTACATTTATTAAGAGAATCTTTATTTGTAAGGGCATCTTTTTCTCTGTACCAGGAAGAGGAAGATGACTAAATCTCTTATAACTCTTATAGGTCGAGAAGGCAACTGACTTAAGTCTGCATAACAACCAAACCCTTGTTAACTGTGTTTTTCCTGGTAACCTTCCATAATTTGCCTCCCTACATCATCTTTTGTCTTTAGCTGGCGATGGTATTCAAAGTCATGGCTTGGGCTATTTAAGGGATTTACTCAGTTTTCTTGGGTATCTCCCCTGCATATAGATGTTATGCTTGTTATTAAATTTGTTTGCTCTTCTCTTGTTAATCTGCCTTTTATTATGAGAGTGGGGCAGTTCTCAGCCTAAAACATAGAAGGGTAGAAGGAAAGTTATTTTTTCCCTATAATGACTATATGTTGCCATCAATTCATCCTTTACCCACTCATTCATCCATACATGTGATATACTCATTGGAGGCCTAACATACTCCTGGCATAATGTTAGGCTCATGAAGATTTGTTGAGCTGATGTCCCTACTAAGCATTAGCTTCCTGGGGGTGTCCATGTTGCATATGGTCCTCCAGCCTTCATGAAAGCTCGTTGTCCATGCTCCACTAGTCTCCCATGATTGGCCGATACTATCCATTCACTACTTCAGTGTTTGGGGCAACCTAACCAGATTAGGAGTCAAGAGAACTGGGCCTGAGTCTGCAAAACACAATGAAAATCTGGAGGCAACACAGGTCAATGGCTACAAGTCTGAGCTCAGGTTCACAGGTTGCAAAAATCAGGTTTTATCACTTACAGACTGTGGGATCTTAGATAAATCATTTCATCCTGCCTCCATTTATTGTCCACCTATAGGGTGGGAAACATATCGGTACTTCTCCTGTGGGGTCAGTGGGAAGATCTAAAATTATAACATTTGTCAAGTAATTAGAATAGTGTCTGAGACAGAGCAAGCACTCAAAAATAAAACTATTATTATTTTTCACTTTTACTGTCATTATGGGCAAAAAAAGAAACTTGGGCCTCAATTTTCTATGAAATATATAATTCTGAAACTTGAAAGTGATGAAAATAAGACCATAAGCTAAGGTCTGAACTCCATTGTTCCTCAGAGACTGTACTAATAATCCCTCCTCTTAGAGGCCACAACCTTGAGACCCAGAGAGGGAAAGGACCCCCCAGCAGTTCCATGGTGAAACCAGGACTAGAATGCACAGGTCCCTCAGACTTCCAGACCATCATGTCCTTCGAAGAACTTAGAACTGCTGGAGAAAGCATGCAAATTTACCCAGAGTTGGGCCAACCAGAAACACTATTTTTTCCCAGACTTCATATCACTGTTAATTAAAATTTCCAGTTGAAAACCATTTTCCCTAAATTAGGCATGCTGCTGCTTAATATTAGCTGCCACAACAGCATTGGAGGGAAGTGGCCATACATTGTCCAAAGGAGATCTTCCTGCTGGGTGCCTTGGCTGGGGGTGTGTGTGTGTGAACAGCAAAATGCTCTTTGCACTCATTCCAGCAAGCAGCTCCTTAACTCATCAGTGAAAGAGTAGGAGGCCTGAGCCCAGACTCATCTACATGGCAGCTGCCTGCTCTGGGAGGCAGAAGCAACAGCACTGTTCATAAATCTACATGTTGTAGCAGCAGGTCCCAATCTCCAGAGATATCCAGTGATAGCCAATTTGACAAACTGTCTTCCACTTCACTCCCCATCTGTTGCAGGGGAGCCGAGTATGTCTTTTAGATTCCCTTTCTTCCCTTCCTCTGGTTTGCATGGCGACGTGCGCGACGTGCAGATAATCAGCCTCTGGGATGAATTTTCATAACCCTTTGGCCTTGATTGTACCATCTCCCACACAAGACTCAGCCCAGATCAAGATCCAGGAACCTTTCCCACCAGACTAAAGGCTGTCAAACTTTTTACAGCATGGCTCACAATACATTTCCCATTGACACCTTGTACACACACACACACACACACACACACGCCACTTCATAGTACTCACTCATTCTAAGTGTGATAGACTTGATGACATCCTTTATGTTCTGGGGTTTTTGAATGGTCACAACCCTTAAATTAATTTCATGGCTCACTAAAGAGTCAACATCTAGTGTGAAAAACAGGGGCAAGCATGACTCATCTCCTGAGTCCCAGGCTTTTGCCTCAAGGACACGCTGTTTCTTGTAGGAATGATTTCTACTGCAGCTTTCTCTCAGAGAGATTCATGGGTAAGCAGGAAGACACAAATGTGGGCTTTAGCAAAGGAAGGGGAGATGCACTGCCAGTGGGACCAGAGAGCCATCTAATCACAGTGCTCAGAGTCAGCGAACTCCTCACAGTTTCTTTCTCGAGGCTGCCCTCATTGTTCACATTAACCGGCTTCACCTTAACTTGGACTTAGAGTGTTTAGCTCCATCTGCCACTTAGGAATGCAGTCATTTTGAGCAGCTGCTTAAGTTCTCCAAGCCTCAGCTACTCTGTCTGTAAATTGGGGATTGCCTTTGTAATTAATCACAAAATGCCTGAAAGACTTCCTAGCATGCTTGATATACATCACATCATCACCTGTTGTTGCCCAGAGTGACCTTAGCCAAATAATTGAGCCAGTTTCCTTCCAATGTGGAGAAGAGAGGATTAGAGGCTTATAGTCTAATTTTTTTCCCCATCTCATCTGTGGTCAGGTCTGAAAGTCATCCAAGTGAATAAGATATGGCAAGCACCTTATGATGGAGGAAGTAGAGATGCAGTTCTGGGAAATAAATTGTTTAGGAAAAATGTGGCCATTGACCAGGACATTTCTTTGTTCTTCTTATGAACCAAAGCTACACATTTATTAAAAATATCTATCTGTCTTCTGTGGCTGTAAATTAGCAACCCTGGCGACTACAGCCCCTATTTCTAGTACAGTGTTCTCCCATTGGCGAAGCGCCGCATGTTCCTGCTGTCAGCATCAGATACCTATGGCCCTTCAGGGGCAGGGGAGGCTCAGAGGCCTCCATTTATTTAGTAAATCTGGTGGACCAGGATCATGGGCAGTGTAATTGCAGTACCTGGAGACAGCCCGACTTCAAAGGAACCAGGGACAGTTCCCTGGATTCCCTACATTGCTGTCACCAAAGGCCAACCCAGTGCAATATTACTTTAGACTCCAGAAGTGAGGAATGGTTTGAATCAGGCAGGGGTGATTATAAAGAGAAGGAGGAGAGAGATGAAGAGAATGGCAGGGAAAAAGCAGTAGATAATTTCTAATCCTCATGTCAACCTTGCCAGAATGGTATTAATACCCTTCCTTCTCGGTGTGAAACTAAGCCTTGAGGGATACTACATTCTAAAGGCCATATAACCATTGTACGGCAAGGCCAGGATTTGAACCCAGGTGCATTTGACCCCAAATATGACATTGCTTTTCCCACTACATTAATCTGCCTCCCAGCAATGGGTTTCCCCTACCATAGTGATTCCCAACATTTTGGATTTCCAATTTTCCTTTAATAATTCCTAGGGGAGCATCTACCAATGAATTCACCCTGTTGTAATTTAAACCATGGTGTGCTCATCTGACCACACCATGGGCTCCAAAGGTGCTTCTTCACAGCAAGCACAAGTATTGCAAATGTTATACATGTATTCATGATTTAAAAGAAAGAAAGAGAGAAAACCCACTTGTGTACAGAATTAAAATAAATTGATTCAATATAGATTTTTATTGTGCAGACTTTCTTGGTATACCTGCTATTAATCATCTGGGAGGATTTAGCTTATTTACTCCAAGAATTTTGCTATTTATCTAATTGTACCAAACATTTAATTAAAAGAGCTACCTGCTTGCTGCTAATGCTCTGAGGTTGGAAACTGAGCTGTATCCCATGAGGATGTACTATCTGGTAGTAGGTGTTTCCAAATCAGAGAAGGTCAGTTAAATTATTAGTGGTTCTAATTAGTTTTCCCACAAGTGGCTATATTATTTAGAACCAAAACTATGCAGTAAGGGATTTTTCCCCCCTAGCCTTTGAAAATAGCATAAAAAAAAAAGCAGAATAGGCTGCTGATGATTTTCTGGAAAAATCCTCACATCCAGGACATGGCTCCCCAGTGCTTCTATTGTACCTCCCATCACTGCTTCTGGAAACTGTACTTCTGCTCCCACAATATGATAGAATATTGTTACAGGGCTTTGTGTCTGAAGGAGTCTCACAGGCTACAAGGTACATGCATGTTTTCAGTCTCCTTTCATCCTCCTACAACTATGATTCTCAAATTTACAGAGAAGAGTAAGGAGACACGGACAGGTTACATGATTGTGAAAGCATCACAGAGCCTGTGTATGGTGGAGAGGAAACAGGAACTCAGCTTTCCCAGCTGAGTGGAGGGTTTTTCTGCTGCCTCACAGATGCTGTATGATTTCGGTGGAGCTTGGCCACAAGTCAAGCCTGAGCCTAGGAACTGCATGAACATGATTTATTAAGGAAGGATTCCAGGTCAAACCAGAAGAGAGAGGAGGAAGAAGGTCAGGAAGAGACAGAAAGTCAACCAAGGGTATAATTTGAGGCAAATTCTTAGTCTCAGCTTGATCTAGCAGGGAGCTCTGGAGAGTAAACTGTTCCTGAGTTTGTGCTGCCTGGAGACAACAGAGCAGCTGGGCTTGTGTGCTCTCACACTGGTTAGTGGTTGGTTACAGGCAACTGAAAAAACTGAGGAACTTAAATCCCAGGCATTTACAGTTCCTGTGCCCACCGGCAATGATCCTGTGAAGATCCCTTGTCTGAGTCTTTATCAGCCAAGGTGGGGCTGGCACACAGAGCTGGAAGAGGGATCTCAGGGAAGCCAGGTGGGTGTCAACAGTGTCCACACACTATGATTGCTTCATTCAATTAGCAAGTATGACCTGAGCACCCACTGAGTGCCAGACTACTCTTTGATACATACTCTCCTGCTATCCCCTACCCCAAGTTAATTTTTTATTTTTTAAATTTTAATTGAATTTTTGGGGTGACATTGGTTACTAAAATTATGTAAGTTTTAGGTGTACAGTTCTATAATACATCATCTGTATACTGCATTGTGTGTTCGCCACCCCAAGTCAAGTTTCTTTTTGTCACCAATTATCACCCCTTTACTCTCTTCTACATCTCCTCACTCCCCTTTCTCTCTGGTAATTACCATATTGTTGTCTGTGTCTATGAGGTTTTTTTTTCTTAATTCCTTCACCTTTTCATCCAGCCACCTCAAATCCTCTCCTCTCTGACAGCTGTCAGTCTGTTCTCTATGAGTCTGTTTCTATCTTGTTTGTTAGTTTTTTGTTCATTAGATTCCACATATGAGTGAAATCACATGGCATTTGTCTTTCTCTGACTGGCTTATTTAGCATATTGCTCTCCAGGTCCACCTTTTGCGACATCATTCACTGTCAAAAAAGGTGAGATTTCCTTTTTTTTATTCCATTGTGTAAATGTACCACAGTTTTTTTGTCTGCTCACCTGCTGAGCACTTGAGCTTCCCAAGTCAATTTTAATCTCATCGGTTTTATTTCCTCTACAACACTCATTTCTGCCTGGATTTTTCTTCTCTGTTTACATTTACTTATTTGTTGTTTATTTCTTTCTATTAGAATTTAAGTTTCATGGGAGCACCAGCTCAGGTTGCTAAGTTCACTACAGTGGCCAGGAAAGACAGTCCCAAGTGGTGAAACTTTCAGGTTTCTCTGAGACCTGAAAGTCAAAGGGGAGCCAGTCATGAGAATGGGAGGAACACTGGAGGCAGAGGACATAGAGTACAAGGGCACTGTGTTGGAAATAAATTTGGAGTTTTTAAGGAATGGAGAGGGGCCTTAATGTGGTAGAGAGAGGGGATATTTGGTGTAGTGCAAAACACAAAGGTCTTTGTCACCATGGTATGTAGAATGGCATTTACTCAAATTACAGTGGGAAGTCACCAGAGAGAGAACAACCATTTCCAAGAGTGATGGCAATTTTGTGAAGGTGACTCATCCCAACCCTTCAGTATCTCTCTGATGACAGGCTCTCTGTACCCCTTTCAACCACAGGCAGATAACATGGATAAGCTGCTGGGCTTTTCACAGACTGATTTTCTATTCAGCAGTTTATTGATGAATGCCAAAAGCATATATGCAGACTTATGTCAACAAGGCATGATGGTGCAATTTTATAAAGAGAAACAAATTATCCACACACAAGACAGCAAATCTTTGCAGCGGTGCAATCTCCATACTGCTGAGCATAGCAAGAGAGGATTTGTTTCCTGAATCTAGAGAATTTCAATAGCAGGATGCACCCGGTTTACCTCCTTTCTTCCTCTGTGTGCATTTCTGAATAGCTGCTCACACCCCGAAACCCTCCTTGCATTTTAGTGGAGAATGAGAGCAGGTGTTACCGCTCTCAGCTTACTGATGTAAGCATAGCCCCATGAGGGAGGGTTGGAGGTGTGTCTGACTGAAAGGAACTGGTAGGAAATGAAAAGCTATGCTCCCTTCGTGTCCCTTGAAGACATTTCAGGTGAGTCAGGAGCGCTGATAATGGAGCTAATCAGCCACAGAGTGAAAAGGAGCTGTCAGCTTTCTCTCTCTGTATGGCTTCAAGATGACTTTTTTTTTTAATCATAGATGAAGAATCCAAGGCATGGTGTCTGTAAGACCCTCCTCCAAGATCACAGAACCAGGAGACACCGACAGCCTAGAGCACCCCACTTTGCTCCACATTTCTCCTTGTCCAGGCTAGTGGATCTTCCTCAACGTCACATTCTCCTTGAAAAGATGAGCTCCAGCCTGAGCTAGAACATGCCCTGAGTCACAGAGCCTCATCACTGGCAAGCTCAAATAACTATGAACAATGAGCCTGTGGAGAAATCGCTTCCAAGTTAGATTTGGAATCTTTCAGACCTGGGAGGCCTATGTTTACAGTTCTATTCCTAAAATTTTTAGAGCTATACCAATTTAAATTGAGAGAAAAACAATCCTCTGGCTTTGTGCTTTTGAGTGGATGGGTTTGGATGATAGAATCTGAATCATTTCCTTCCAAGAGAAGAGCATTTATGATAAACACCTCAGGCAGAGATGTAAGCAAGGTGACCTTACCTTTTTGTCACTGAGGCCAGTTACTTGGTCCACGAATTCCTCCTGGATCATAAAAGCAGCCAGATTGGCTGTGTAGCTGGCTAGGAATATGACGGCAAAGAAGGCCCACACGGACACCATGATCTTGCTTGTGGTACCTTTAGGATTCTGGACAGGCACGGAGTTATTGAACACCAGGCCCCAAAGGAGCCATATAGCTTTCCCAATTGTAAAAGAAGGCCCATGGGGTGCTGCAAATGACAGAAAGGACATTCTCAGTGTTTTCTGAGTGTTTACTAACTTCATGATGGCCACTGGCCCCACTGAAGTTGCTAGAAGATGGAATTACACCACAGTTGCACTTCTCCATTGCCTCAGAACCACAGCTACAATATCTCCTTTTTTCTATACAAATTAGCATTTGTCTCATATTTCTATCTAGCTGGATTTTTGCCAGGTTTCTTTAAAGAAAAAAAAAGCAAGAAAAAATGATTATGCAAAATGTGGGTTTGAATGAGAAGTAGTGTTATGACCTATTTTAAATTTATATTTGATTTCTATTGGTGGGGCAATCTCCTCAATAAATGTACAAAAAGCTTTACAGAAATGTGTGCATGGGGACAGCTCCAGTATTCACTTGATATGCTATCACATAAGGATCATGCAATTCAGTGGCACTGGTGTTTGGTATTCTAATCCAATTGTCCCTAGCATTTGCTCCTATTCAAATTCAGATGTACAGTGTTCACAATATAAGAATTAAACCCAACTACAACTCTCTCCAAATGGAAACATTAAGGAACAAAGCAATAGAGCTTAATTCTCCAAACACTTCACAAATGCAAGTCAGTTGGTTGCAGGGTCATGGAAAATGAACTGTGATATTATGTTAATTCTCCTCCCCTCAGTGTACCCTTGCAACAAGTTTGTGTCCCTCTTAGGATTCTTAAATGTTCCTTTGCAACAGATTTAACTTGAGAAGAAGGACAATATGGCAAAATCTATTGGGGTGGGGAGAATGTGGGCCATAAAAAGCACATGTTAGGGTTTTCAGGTCTATTTAATTGGCCAAAAGTCCATTTAGTTTTCTATTTTTTCTGTAAAATAAAAATCACATTTTTCGTTTTCACCAATAATTTTATTGATTTGGATATTTTGAGTATGTCAGTTATCTCCCGCTATTGGCTTCTAGTGGGTAGCGACCAGTAGTGCTGCTAAACTTCTTCCAATGCATAAGACAGCGTCACAACAAAGAATTATTTGGCCATAATGCCAACAGTACCAAGAAACTTTGCAAACCACTTTTGACATGTTCAATCAATCACAGCACCTTCTCCATACACTGCACAAATCTTTTGTTTTTGCATTTCAGTTGCATTTCTACCTTTCTTGAAATAATAAAGTGTAACTTGCTTATTTTCTTCCATCTTCAATATTAAAATGGCAATACATAAATTCATCAATTTTGATTTTTTTAAAAAATGCATGCTGATATGATAGCTATCATAATACCATATAACACAATTGTTTCAAATTAAGTTAAAGACAGCTAAGCACTACTAGAGCCACTGTACAAACAAATAAACAAACTTTTTGGCCAACTCACTATTTTGCTCAAGGGGAAAAAAATCAATGTATGTCCTCATTTCATTATTAAAAAAGGCTTTCCTTTAACACAAGGTTAATTTTCATTTAAGTAAATAAAGATGTAAAAAATTGATCTGCTCAGAATTCAGTTGGAGATGCCAGCAGAGTAGGCAATAAATAAAGTAGCAGAAGAGAATTTAGAATGATGGAAGCTCTTGGCAGAGAGCCTAGGAGAAGCATGCTTTTCACACACTGGAGGTCAAACTCAGGCTACAGTAATACTTATAATATCCATACATAACACAAAAGAAAAGGCCATTAATTTTATTCTTTTCAACTTCAAGCACTCCTGTTTCTCTTTGTCCAGTTTTATGGTCTTCTGGGCTTATTCCAAAGAGGCTCAGAACTCTAAAAAAATAATGAGAGTCAATCCACTTAACTTCATGAACTACTTCATTTTATTAAGAGTGCATGTTGATCCGAAGTGACAGCTATCTGGGAATCAGAAATGGGCAGTTGCAAGGGATCTTCCCAAGACTTTTGGGAATCCCTGATTCATGATTACTATTACTAGGCCATGTAATTTTCCCTATAAAGTGCAGTGAAATGGAAGTGAAAACCATTTTACACAAATAAACAAGTAGCTGTCATTTCCTGAGAGTTTCCACATGCCGTTGAGTAGGAAATAGAAAGCCTTGTTTTATAGTAAACTTCTAGTGTGTGATTCAGCTGAAGGAGAAATTATTGCACATGATAGGCTCTGGAAAATTTTTTATTCTCCAAGATACATCTCATATTTATCCACTTATCTCCATCTCTATTACCCCATACAAGTCCAACCACTGTAGTCTTTTCTCTTGGAGAACTGTAACACCTTCCTGACTGGCCCCCTCCTTCCAATCCTGTCATTCTTTCATTGTCTTGATAGATAGCTCCAGTGACCTTCCACACTGGCCATGTTTTATCCCCTTCTTCCTTCCCACTATATGTTGAAGAAAACCTGAAATACTTACCATCGTCAATAGTCTGTCTTTCTGATTTCATCTTATACCACTGTCCAACTCTCTCACTTACCTCTTCTCTGCTTCTTAAGCATATCAAGATTTATCTCATATCAAAGTCTTGTATTTGCTGTTCCCTCTGCATGGAATGCTTTTCCCTCAGTTTTTCTCATGATTGAAATTTTCCCATTCTTTAAGTCTCATCTCAAATGTCATTTCTTCCAAAAGTTCTTCCCTGCTTGACCATCTTACTTAAGTAGCATCTCCTTGTCATCACTTCACTTTGTCTTTTTTCCTTCTTGAGATTTATTACAATCTGTGATTATTAATTCATGTGTTTACATGTTATCTACATAACTAAATTCTCAGTTCCCTTAGGGTCAGTAAGTTTCTAGCCAGTTTACCAAATTACCCCCCTGCACCAGAACAGTGCCTGGCACATAGTACCCACTCAACCAATAGTCATCAAATAAATACATGAGTTCATAAACAGCACAAATTCTGATTCTGCAAGGGTAAAGACCTACTCTATTCATCACCTACAGAAAATTGTCTCAGGTTCCACTCTGCTGGAGAGCTCCTTACTGGTTTTTTGCATTACCTTTTAGTGAAGATCTGGCAATTCTCCCATTTAAACACAACATGATTTTTTATGGCATTTTTACTAGGTTTGGTTGATTGGAGATAGTTTATATAGTAATCACCACTTTTCAGTGGTAAAGAAGTGGAGGATTACAATAAAACCAAGTTTCTAGTGGGTTCCCATCACCTATTGTCTGTTTCCAACACTGAATCTTCCAAGTGAGAAGAGTATGTGACAAATTAAAGTGTTTTGTTTTTGAATAACTGTTCCTTGAAGATATGTTGTCTTCTACAATCTCAAGTCATTTTTCAGGAGAAAGATTTGGTCCTGGCATCCTTCTGATATACCGTCCACTTAGAATTTATGGTGCAATGAGGAAAATTCTCTCAAAATGATATAATGTGTTTAGGTACTTGACATGAACATTGGCTTGTGTGGGAGCCTCTTAATAAGTTATAGCCAATGAATGCCTCCCAATTCAATTTCCTATCTACTGATTGCCACTTTATCAAATAAAAAGGTCACTCACTATCAAGAGGAAAATATAACTCTTTGGGGGAAAATACCATTTTATAATTATATTTATTGTCAAATGAATGCAATTATGATTCAGTACTTTGGAGAATATTCTTTAACTAGATTCTATAGAGCCATTTTATTACATAGTCAAAAGTTGAGAATTAGTACAATTTTAAGATTTCTTTGGACACAGATAATTAAAATTAATTGCCAGAAAAACTTCTTCAAATCTGCTTTCTCAACATATTGAATATCAGTAGTTTTCACCTAACAAGTATGAACTCCACATTATAACAAGATGAAGTGTCTCATTTTGTTTTATCCTTCTTTTCAGATAAAATAATAAGTAATATCAATGACCCAGAACCATTTGTACAATGGTTCAGCAAGGCAAATAGAGGATAATGTGTTCCAAGTCTGAAATAGTAACTGAAAGCAAATGAAATAGCATCAATGTTGAATCATGTTTATGAAGGTGTTCTTACCTTTCCCTTTAGCTAAGTTTCTGTTGTATCCAACAGGACTGAAGTATTCAAAAACAAAAACAGCTATGGCAGACACAATGAGCAGCATCACAAACATCATCACCCAGACAGAGGCGCTGAATGGTTCTGCAGAGAAACAGGAGACATGGTCAGTTCACTCTTCCTCACAACCGGGGCCAGCAGGAAGTCCAGAGGTCCACAGGCAGGCTCACTGAGAAACTTTCTTTAGTGTGAATCTGATCATTCAAAAGGAGCTAGTCATTGTTTACTCATACATTTAAACCATTCTTTATTTTACAAAATATTTGAGGTACTTTATAAAACTGCAGAATAGAATAAAAATAGAGAAGAGCATATGACATTTTACAAATCAGGTCAAGGATAATAAAAACAAAATAGAATGGTAATACCAGGGGAGGAAGCCAGAATGCAAATAAGGAGGCCACAGGGTTCTATATAATTATAGAATCACCCAGGGAACCAAAGCTGGGGAGAAACAAGGCTAGACTCAAATAGTCAACCGTCAGGCTCCTGCCAATTAGATGGGTTTTATTAGTTGTTTTCACTCTTATTTTTATATGCTGGAAGGATGATGTACAGGATATTCCAGAAGTAAAGTGACAATTATGACCTGTTAGAAAAGGATCATAATTCATGGGGTAGATAGGACTATTGGAAAGTCCTGTCTGCCACCACTGCTAACACACTCTCCATCTCACCTTCTGTTCCAGACAGATGAGATCTACACAATTTTAGACTTTTGTTGATGTTGGTAATGGGCTTAAATGCAATTGAAAAGTCATTTGAGGACATTCCCATCATAATTCAATGAAAAGGCATCACTCAAAGAGTAGAGGGAATAAAGAAATAGATTGATAGATGATTATTTCCCCTAAAAGTAGTTTCCACTAGTTCATTTTCATATGGAGGTCACAAGAGGGCAGACTAGGTCACAAGGTTCTAAATGTTAGAACACTCTAAAAAGGTAAGAGATATAGAAAATAACATTTCTATTCAATTGGATTGAGGCTATGCAAATGAGCTGAATGGAACAATTTATCTGTGTATGACATGGATTTGTTAGGAAATCAACAGGGATTAAAATTTTTCAAAATGAATAGACAGAGTGGGACCAAAGTAGGTTTACAAGTTGTTCAAATGGAAAATACAGTAATTAATAAATACTAATACAAGAACAAACTCTGTGTTTCACTTACTTACAACTGTAAACCCACTTTTGGCCCAGCCTGTATCTGTACCTGAATGCATCATTTGAAAAGAAACTGCCCTGGGACAACAATAAGCTTATAACCCTTTTCATCATAAGCAAACATTTTCTGAGAGTAAAGTGAAAGAAGCCTAATAATACCCGTTGAAGAGTAGATTTTATTATTGTTAAATTGTTTTTCTGATGGAGCTCGTAATAATCTTAAAGAACTAGGCTGATAATAGTCCACCTTATTAAAGTCTGTGACTACCTAATACAACTAGAGGTCATCATAAATTCCCATTTAATGAGATTAAGATGTAACAAGAAAATAATATAGCTGAAGCTTTAACTGTTTCAGATAATTTTAAAACTGGACAGAATCCTTTACAATGCAGTTTTGACAGTGCAAATATATTAAAAAGCAACAGGTAACAACACAAATAACTAATGCAAGATGAGCTTGAAGAAGTCAACAAGACAACTGAAAATCAGCTAAATTTAGCTTAAGTAATAAATAATATTATGTCCCTAACATCATAGCAATTTGGTAATGAGGTGTACCCAAAGCAGAGGAGAAATAAATGAGTAGTTGAGATATTAAAAATTACTTGATATTCAAGAATAGAGATATTTAATTAATTCTCTAAGTTGGTATACTAATGGCACAGTGTCTCTTACCAGAGAAGGATCATTGTGATAAGCAAATGAACAAGTACATGGGAAATATTTGGTGGTATGCTCTGCATGCTGTATGCACATAACAAATTAAATAACTGTTTGATTCTAGTTACTGGTGGTAGGGGATGCTATTCAGGGTCCTGAAAAAGACATCCTTGTTTTCAAAACATGCACACTTACTTATCTGATAACTTCCTTTTCTCTGCAGGTTGTGAGAAAATATTATAAAAATATTAGGGCAAATTCTTATTGAATTCTTATACTCACATGTCAGAATCTATAAACCTGAAGTGGGCTTCATTTGGCAGTTGATTCATCCTAGTCACTAACTGGTGAGAAAATTAGGTGGAAGCTGTGCAAGTAAGTGATGCCAGATGATTTCTAACTTGCCAGGGACAACATCTATCTTTTGACCTGTGAGCACAGTACAGAGCTAAAAGGATTCTGCTGCAGTATTCTGATTTTAGTAAGTTTAAGTTAGGTACCTATTAGTGCCCTGAAGGTTTGCTATTGTCAGACACTACACTTCATGTGTGTGTGCACGCATACACACAACCCCTGTCCCCCCAACAAAGAAAAGCATTAGAACAATGTTAAAGCACTATCTATAATGTCTAAGGAGTAACCCAGAATTTGGATAACTCTGGATTACATCCTCTCTTGGTTTAAAGCAGATGCAACATTTCTCCATGAGGGAACATCAATCTATGAGACTCCAGGTCAGCGTTTCTTTCAATCAAAGAATACAACCTGCTTAGAAAGTCTTTAGAATTAACTGAATGGAAATATTGCAAGAGATGTTATTTCTGTCCTTGAAAAGTCACTGGTTACATTTTTACACAAAACCTCAGTGGCATTACCTACAAGGGTTTCTGATGTGAGTTAATGGGGTTTGCAGAGGAGAGAGAATAGGAAATAATGAAGAGCTGTGCAATCAGATTTTGAATGTTTTGGCTCTTCCAGATGACTGAGCCAGTGAATGGAAAAAATGTAGCTTAGCATGGTTCATTATGACTTTGAAAACCTGCAGATAATGACCATAAATAAAGGGTTGCACAGTCAATCGAATAGGGATGTAATTTAGTGAGTAGGAAAAAAATTAAGCCTACTGTGTAAAAACAGCTTTGAAATAGTTTCATATACCTACATTTTATTTTATTTTATTTTATTTTATAATACAGTAGGAAGAGTAGGGGGAAAGGGAAGCTTGGCTAAATTTAGCAAAAATGCTTGACTTTTAATGAAATGTTCTAATGAAGGTAAGATAAAAATCTAGAGAAATTGGATTGAGGCCAGATTCAATATCAGCGACCCATTTTTATGAAACAAGCCAATCAATATTTTTTCTCTCTGATTGAACTGGGAAAAAAGTTGTCTCTAGCTCACTAAGGATATATGTGAACAATTTCTGAAAAGAAACATCTCTCTCCATAAATTCACTTCCTCCAAACTTTTCTGAACCTTTAGGGATAAAGATCCCTGTGAAAGGGTCTCATAGAAAATAGGAGGGGGAAAATGACTAGGAGTAACTAATAATTATTAAGATTCTGAACATGTTGCATATTTGGATCAGTGGGTTGTGTATTTCATGGTATAATGGGACTCCTTTCTTAAGACATGGGCATTGTTGTCCATCCCAGACAAAGGCACAAAAGGAACATAATGAAGTGTGAACTTGTTAATTTCTACATTATGCCAACACAGGTTATGACATTTGAAGCAAGGGTGCAAAATCATAATCCAGTGAGTGGGAAGAATTTCAACAGCTTAAATAAATTATCAAAAATGAACATAGTAAATCCATGTCTCTGTGAGCAAGGCAGTATCCAAAACCTTGTTAGTAAACATTTCACTCAAGAAAATGAAGCATAAAAAGTTTTACTAGATGCTGACAAACAAGTAAATGAAGACAATGGGGGAATAAGATGATAGCCCTGAAGTTGGTGTCCATGAATTGTCCCTTGTCTGCAGTTTGAATTCTTTAATAGACAAAGGGATTTTAGTCTTAAAAAATGCCATAAATTTAGTTGACCTTAATCTGTTTTCCCCTTCTTGTACAGTTTTCTTTTAGGTGTTAATATGCATTTTAACCTCCCCAAATTTGGGAGAAACACTAATAGGAGAATGTCAAGGGGAAGTTCATCTAAACCCTGTGATCTTCAAGATAGCCACTATCAAAAAATATTTATGCTAGTCTAATGCTCAACACAACATTTTCTTTAAAAAAAATGCTTGGCTATGTTCCATGCAGTTTCAACTACTCTAGCTAGACTACCTAATGCATTTATACTGATAGTGCTACAAAAACTAGATGATACAAAATACAAATTGACTTTGCCTAACAACAATTTTATGTAAAAACATAAATTTATAAAATAGTTGAAAGGAACATAAACAGAATTTTCTGCTTTGTAAGCCATTCAACTTAAAGGATAGTCACATTTAAAATATGACTCTATTAATCTTAAATCAGTATATATTTTTCAGACTACTTCTGTTTTGTTTATTAGAGTAATGGTATAAATCATTGTTTAGTCATCATTATTTTCACTCCTATACCCAGTAAATAAGTGATTGTCATCCTAGTGAGGGATGGAGGATGGGGATGTGGATGTTCAATAACAGATTATGGGCTGATTTAAATTAACTGTGGACAGGTAGGTTTATTTTTTAAATGTATTTAAGGCTCTAAGAAATATGTCTACTCATCTACATCCTACACAATCAAGACCAGTATCTGAATTTGTGATTGTGTTTTCAGTAGATTTTTCCCAGTTAAAGATAAATGAGAGTGGTGGGGGAAAAATAGAGACAATTGTACTTGAACCACAATTTTTTAAAAAGATAAATGAAATATATTAACTGAGGGAAAAAGTGAATTGGGATAATTCAAATATGACTTGCTTTGGAATATGTTGATGTGGTTAAATGGAACTGAACCAGCTCCTATCTAGGTTCCATCCTTTCAGCAAGCAAGATATCATACCCATAATTCATTATAGGAAAGTAATAGAGACTATGAAGTTCAAATACCTAGAAAAGCAGACGGTGACACAGTGCCATTGCTTCTTGAAACCATGACACTGATCCCTGTCTCCACAAAGGGCACAGAGAAGTCCACCACTTCAGAACGTTCCTCATTGATGGTGAGTGAGCCAACTGCCATGACTGCCCGCTGATAGACCACCTGGATATAAGGCAAGAAAGCACAGTACATTAATTCATACTCTCCACATCACTGAGGCCTTCAGGTCCTAAGTCCGAATGAGAGCCCATGAGATGAAAAGACAACTTACTTCACCAATCATTCCATTCCACACGTTGTTAACTTTTTTGCCATGCTTCCCATTTGTAACCAGGTAAAGGTCATAGGTAAACTTCACAGTTCTGGAGAGCTTCTTTAGGATATCAATGCAGAACCCCTTGCAGCATTTTTTAACATTCATTCCCTCATTGGTTGAATTACTGTAGAGAAAAATCCCAAGACCATAGACTATTAGTACCAGAAAATTCGTTCACAATCATTAGCTATGCTCTTCTGCTGTTTTTCACATGGGAAATTGCAGCTCAAATTGAGGAAGTGGTTTTTCCAAAGGTATGTAGTGAGTTTATGACAGCAAAAGTGGAAAGTGTTCTTAATTATGAGAGTAATCATGACAACGGCTAACATTTATTGAGTAATTACTATTGGCTATGCACTGTGCTAAATGCTTTGTACTAATTATTGGCTTAATCTCCATGACATTTCTCTTAATTAGGTAGTATTTTTATCCCTATCATGCACTATAGTTACTGCCTCTTATTTTTAAAAGTTTATAACAATATAACCTCTTTAGACCAGAGTTTAGTAATTTGATCTTAACTGAACTACAAAAACTTACTAGAAAATAGAAGAGGGTGTGCAATTCACAAGGGAAAAGTTGTGCCGCATTCTATCATTGCAGACAGGGGTTTGCAAACAGAGTGACAAAGTAAGGGTGGCTGGCTTAGGAAAGGCACTTTCCTTAAGAAAAAACAGTTCAGCTAAGAATCAGAAGATGTGAGGTTTACCCCATATTTGAGGCCACAGATTTAATGCCTCACGATTGAGTCATCTGTCAAAGGAGGGCTCACTCATAACATTTTCCCTCCCTACCTACATGGCAGGAAGTATAAAACGTGACACTATCAAAGAGCAATGTCCTTCATTAGAAAAAAAGCCCTATTAAAATACAGAGTGTTTAACCAAAGACACTGAAATAGAGGCCAGGCTGACAGTGCCCACAGAAGAGAGTAGAGGAAATTTAAGGGGACAGTGGGAAGGGTTCACAGGAACAAACTTAAAGGACACATGGTCATAAACTAAGGGGAGGGTGGCAATGGGAGGGAAGTGGGGAGGGGTGGGAGGGGGGACTGGATTGGGAGTAAAAAGGAGAAAACTGTATTTGAACAATGATTAAAATAAAAAAAAGAGAAAAAATATAGAGTGTTTTAAAAACTGTCTTAAAAGCTATCATAATTTATCAAGGTTACATCCATTGCTTTGTGCTAGCCACCTTACTTTATTTACCTGACCATACTCAAAGGACATACTCAAAGGACACCCACAAAAATAAGAAATGCCTTTAAAAGGGAAGGAAACATGAAGGAAGATTGAGACCTCTCTGGGCAATACACTTGATTCCACCTTGCACTTGTGGATTCCCTCTGCTTTTGAGTCATGCACGCTATGAGATATGTGCTCTAGTAGAATATTTCATTGTTAGCACATCTACACATTACCTGAGCACTAAAATGAAAAATCCAACATCATAATAAGAAAATACTTATGTTTCCACATCATATGAAAAAGTAAGTTACATAGTGATATATACAGAATGACCATAGCTATATAAAAACAGATGAGCTTAGGAAATATCTGAATGGAAAAACAATAAAATATGAAGCATATCTATTTTTGAATGGTCAGACATGGTTTTTTCATTTTCACATTTTTAGCCTCCCCCTCACCAAATTATCTGCAGTGAGTATATACTACATACATAACTGGATACACACACATCAAGCATCTTTGCTATAGAGCTACATCTTTACCCATGAAAATAAATAGATTTGATAATATAACTGTGAGCAATGAAAGCGGGTTGCAAAATGAAATCTTTATTTCAGTGTTTATCTTATCTCAGGATCACAGATCACCTATTCTGAATTGCTGTCTTCACCATTGTCTCCTTCCGAGCCTGTCCCCACTCTCTGTTCAACCAACTTGCTTCTGTCAGCCAGAACACCATGGAGACTTTATTTCTAGTCTAGAGGCTCAATAGCCTCCTCTGACCCTGCGACTCTCAGCTTGGGGGGCATGGGAGACTACATCTCTATACATTTACATATGATGATTGGTGCACTGAACTCCATAGTGTAATAGGTAGTAGGCATCTTCCCAATCCCCACCAATCTTGCAGAGCAGAAGGGGTCAGGCTGGAATTACAACTGCTATAAGCACATTAAATTAATGGCATTTCCAAATATGACTTCCTTCTTGGTATCTGTGACTCTGAAAAAAATGTATCAAAATCAAATTCTCTTTCTTCCTGGCCACTGTAGGCCATGCATCACTGTGTCTTCTCTACCTCTTGCCATTTGTGTCATCCTCACTCTCTGCTCCTTTGCTTCTTTTATTACAGCCTCTTCCTTCCCTTGGTCAAGATTCTTAGAAGAGTTTGAACAAGAGTTACGAATGCTTGAGGTTTAAGATTCAGGGTCACAGGCATGTAGTGACCTATATGATTCTTTGGCTTCACTGGACACCTCAACCAGTTTATAAGTTAATTATGCCCCCATGTCCCCTAATACTAAGTTATTTCTAGATACTAAGTTACTGATGCATTTTCACCCAACCAGTGCCCACTGAGTAACTGCTCTGTGCAAGGCACAGCACTAGTCCCTGGGGTCACAGGCCAAAGAAGACATGCAGCAAATGCAGCACTTGAATTTATCATGGGAGTTATGGAAACACCACCAGTTTGTAATGGGGAACTTGCAGTTGGTTCCTATCACAGCCCGTGTGTGTGTGCATGTGTGTGTGTGTAGGGGGTGTGACTTAACTACATAGACATCTGAGAAATGGTGCAGATGTATTCTCTCTCAGCTCTGTCCCATCTCCCAAAATAAAGGGTGACTCATAAAAAATATATATATATGGAAGAAGATCCAAGAAATCCAGTTCTTCAGCTCCATGGTTTCCTAGTGTGGCCAGTGGATATGAGCATGGCCACACCAGCCTGACAGAACAGCTTTCAGATCCTGGGTCTGCTGCTAACAACCCTGAAAACTCAGATGAGTCTCTTCAGTCACAGCCTCAGTTTGCTTGTTTGTAAATTGAGAAGGCTGACACTTACCTTGCAGGATAATTGAGAAGATAAAACAAAGTATCTAAAGCACCCTCACGTAAGCGCTTAAAAATGTATCTCCTCTCTGCTCACCAATGATTTGACAGTTTTGGGGATTAATTGATAGTATGGCCATTTTTCTCTATATAGCAAGGCCAGATAATTTCTCCTTAACAATTTTCTCTTTGTGCCTTAACATTCAAATAGCAGGCTAGAAGAAAAGTCTGGTTTCTCACCTCATTTCCTATTACCTATGTTTGTAGAAGACCTTTGTATGCCCTCAAGACTCCACCATTTACCAGAAGTGAGAAACAAAGGGTCTTCTCTGGGAGAATATCACCAAGAAAACACATACAATGTGTTATCTAACAGAAATCTTTTTTGGATCCAATCAGCCTGCCTCAAGGATATTACCTTTAAGAAATTCAATTGATCCAAGATGTGTTATTCTTGGGATTAGTGGATCCTAGTAATTTTCTTCATTCTTAGGTAAAACAAAGACTAATGTCATCTAGATGCACAGTAAATTATGTCCCCAAGTGGCAAAAGGAAAGCTAACTAGTCACCACCTTTCACAGGAACCAAAAATGTGAATTTGAATCTATCCATCTGTTTAAATTCTTCAGTGGAAGAGTCATTTCTTTCAAAAAGAGTAATATACTTGGGGGTTCCTTTTCTCCATACAAATATGACTCAAGACTTGGTGACCTATTGTTTTTAGCTCTAACACTTCTGATGTTAAAGACTTCAATCGTGAAGCACAAGAGGCCCTCCTTACTGACCATATTGAAACAGAAAAGGCATTATCATAAGGGAGGTGCCCTGTTGAGGTTACACTCTGTTTTGTGCCAGCCACTCTGCTTTCTTCATCTGACCAAGTCCTGCTCAAAGATCACCCACTAAAATCAAAACATACTTTGACGACTTCCCCATTGTTTCCCCCACTCATCACCCTATAGTGCTGCTCTAGGCTTCCATCTGTTTCCAAAACTCACCAGTCTCTTTCCTGCTGCAGGGTCTTTACTTACACCTGCTGTTCCCTCTTCCTGGGAGGAACTTCCCCCGGTTTTTTCCATGTTTCACTCTTTCTCATCCTTTGTCACCTTAATTCTTACCTGTGTGAGCTAAAGGAGCCCAGCATACCTTAAAATGCCCTCTTATCACACTACCTTCTTTACACCCTGAACTAGGTTTGTCATAACGTGGAGTTGCTCTGGTCCTTTATTGGTTGAGTTGTTTTTACCTGTTTATGCTCCACGACTGCAAGATCTGTCTTCTGTCTTCCCTGTTCATTGCTGTTTCCCTTGTGACAAGCACTTTTGCCTAACTCATACACTGTGCTTAACATGTATTTATTTATTGACCAATCTATTCAAAATTTCAACTCCAAAGAGGCTGACAACTCCAAAAAGGCTAATCATTATTTGTTGAATAATCTACTCAGAATTTCAACTCTGAAATGGCTGCTTATTGATAAAAAAATTTTCTCCAAACCAAAATGTTCCTTCAAAATATATTTAGCAATCATATTTTTAAAAAATTATCTTTATCCCAAGAGCTGAGATCTGGGGATTTGCATCTTGTATAATAACTGAGGTTGGAATTTGTAATGTGGGAGAGGAAAAGTATCCTTTACTCAGCTGTTCAAGTATCTTCCATATCAGTAGGTCATGTTCTGTGCTTGACACTGGGGACACCAAAATTAATAGGTCACATTCCCTATATTTAGGCAGCTAATAATCCAGGGGGGAATACAGATAAACTGTAAGCCACAAAAATGGTGATAGAGATAGAGTGGAAGGGACTGGATGTTTGTGTTTCCTCAAACTCATATGTTGAGACCTAATCCCCAGTGTGATGGTATTTGGAGGGGGAACCTTGGGAGGTAATTCAGTCATGAGGGTGAAGCCCTTCAATGAATGGAACTAGTGCTCTTATAAAAAGAGACAGTAGAGCTTGCTTTCTTCTCTGTAATGTGAGAAAAAGATGATAAGCAGAGGGCCTCATCTGACACTGAATCTGCCAGCACCTTGATTTTGGATTTCCAGCCTCCAGAACTATGAAAAATCAATGTCTGTTTTTTAAGCTGCATAGTCTGTGATAATTTGTTATAGCAACCTGAACTGACTAAGACACAGAGACATATCCAGAGTACTGTGGAATTAGGGAGAATGAACACAACTTGGGGATGGAGTGGTTAAGACTTAAAGGACAAACAAGAATTAGCCAAGTGAAAGGAGGTGATCAGAAAATACTCTGAAAAAAAAAATAAAGTAGATTTCCATCCAACTGTAGGCCTTTTCCTTTAGTAATTCCCCCATAAGGGTGGTATTTTTGTTTATGTTTGTATTAGCAGAGACTATAATCAGGGCCTTGGACTTAGCCATAAAGCTGTATGCTTCTCTAAAAGGTTTATACATTAGGGAGAACCCTTCACCAGAGGCTATGATAAAAAAAAAGTCAGTTCTTTCTTCAAATGTAATAAAGGAGGGAATGACATAGATGCAATGTTTGCTTATTGCTGGTGAGCTAGGGAATTGCCAGGAGATCAGATCCACCCTGGTCTCATCAGGATGTCATTTGTAAGGTATATGTTGACCCCCAAATGGAGAGATGTTTTGAAAATTTTTGAAAAGTTTGGATCCAGGAAATATAAAAGAGATGAAAGTTAGTGGAAGGTGCAGGGTTAAAGGAGAGAGACAGCTATAAAAATGCAAAGAAAATGATTGTTTAAAGAAAAATTGAAAGAGAGGGTTGATTTAGCATAGTGGCTAAGAATCTGGACCAGTGTTTGAGTTCTGCCTTTTCCACTTACAAGCTGAATGGCTTTAAACATGTTTCTTAATCTTTCCATAACTCAGTTTTTATCCTATTAAAAATAGGATAAGTATACTTATCTTGCTGTTAATAAAAAGTACACTTGCCTGTACTGCTGTTATTGAAATTAAGTAATGCAAACCACTTGGAGTAGTTCTAGTTTAAGTATTTTTAAAAAATCTATTATATCTATTGTAATAAGGTATATTTTCTATTATATTTTATTATTTTATAGATTTTGCTATTATCAATGGTACATGCTATTTTAAATGACTGGGCACATTAAACTGACAGCATCCCCAACTCACTTGATTTTGATGAACTTCCGACATGGAACAGTGTTCCGCACACACGTCTCGGTCAGCGGGTCTATGTCTTCCACAATGACAAAGGGGGCCTCCTCTAGGGTGACGATGCTCAGGTGGTTGTCATCCGGCTCACAGTCCGAAAAGGACTTGTACCTTGGCCACACGGCATGCCTCAGGCTCAGGGTCTGGTTCTCCCACTTGCCCACCTGCATCATAAAGACAAAGACAGGTCTGCGTTTTCTTGCACCGCTGACTTCTGGAAAGACAAGTCTTTCCCCATAAGGGGAACGGAAGAAGCATCCATCCACCTTCAGGGTTTTTCCGTTATCTACCTCCACATACATATCTGCTTCTATGCTAAGAAAAATGGGGACAAAGAGAGAACATAGTGTGTGGGCTCTCTCTAGACTGATTTAATCATGGGGGTTTTGCCTAAGCACTGATAGTTTTAGAGGTCCCTGGGTGACTCCAAAGTCCTGTTGGAGTTCAGGATCCCTGATGTCATGAAAACAGCCCGACTTTTAGAATCAGAGGGATCTGGGCTTGAGTCCCCAACTCTGCAGCTTATTAGATATACAATCCCAGGCAAGTTCTTAGTCACTACGAGCGTCTGTCTCTTATCTGTAAATAGGAACGATGTTACGTACTTGCTAAGGATGTTGTGGGAATTAAATAAGGCAATTTGTGAAAAGCATATAGCACAGTGCCTGGCCCCAGAGTCAGGACCACATACTTTTCCTTTTAAGTGTAGAATAGAGGCAATGAAAAGGAGGAAGATTAAACAAAACAAGTGCTATAAAAAGAAAAAGAGGAGAGGGGAAAGGAAGATGGAGTGGAGGGAAGATTAGGGGGAGAGATAACACAAGGGACAGAGCAGGTGAGGAAGTTAGAAGTATCACTTCAAGCTCAGATATGTTTCTATTTCAGTTGCAAATTAAGGGGAACTTTTATTAATCCAGCACAGAGTGGAGACCTCTGCTTAGTATACATCAACTCCTGTCAAAATGGAATTGATGTGTTCCTTCTGAGCAGCAGTTGGCATCTTAGTGAAATCAAATTGAAGGCTGCATGTTTTGAACCTTAATTTTATTTGACAGTTTGTTGGCACTGTTCACATGCACATGGAAGGAAGCTGCCCCCAGCATCGCACTTTCCCCGTCTTCCTACTACTCCCACGTGCAATTGTTTGACACCACACGTCAGCTCTTTATTTGTAATACCAACTTCAAGGAAAACACCTCATCTGAAACGCTAAGTGTCAAGTCCAGGCTCATCTGTGTACATGACCCACTCACCTCTCCTGCTGGAACATGTCACTAGAAATGAATCTCAGGCCATTAAAGAGAATTCAGACTCTCTGAATACCAGGGGAGGTGGAGAGGTGGGGGAGAGAAGGCAGTCAGTGCTGTCTAAGATGACCTCATCATTTGGACTGGAAAATTTTTGCTGCTTATAGAGGGATATTCCATGTGGTCAATTACAAAACTGTCAGCTTCACTGGTACCTTCGTTTTTAAGATAGGAAGGGGAGTAGAGTAATTTGGTCAAACAAACATGTTCATGTACCCATGCCGTGATGTGCAACATAAGCTGAAGAGAATATCGAGCCCTTCCAATCCTTCATCCTTTCAACACAGATTTATTGAACACCATCTATGAGCTGGCACCAGCCTGGGAATGGTGGTAGATAAAAACAGAATGATTCCTTCCTTCTTGGAACAATCAGTTGGCTGCAGGTCAAAGATCATACCAATAATAGTAAATATGCACAGTCAAAGAGATATCCAACTTTTTTCTTTTGGGACATGTTATATCAACCCTCCCGCCCCTTGTTTTTTTTTCCCCCATAGGCTAGATAGTTCAGTGGGTAAGAGAATAGCTTTTGGAGTCAAACAGAACTAAGTGTTAATCCTGGCTTCACTCATTAGCTGAGTATCCTTACAAAAGTCATCGAACCTCTCTGAGATTCACTTTGCCTATCTGTAAAATGTGGATAAAAATAGGATATGACTTACAGGACTATAGTGAGATTTGAATGAGCCAAAAATATACAAGAAGCATTAAGCATAGAACTTAGCACATGACACATGTGGTAGCTGCTGTTATTGTTGTAGTAGGCATTTAAGATGTAGCTCAAGTATCACATAATCTTCAAAGGCATTCCTATCTTTCCTAGTAATATAGAACTTTGCATCTATCTCTACCATAGCATTTGATGCTACAATTGTAACAATGTCACTTTTGAGCACTTCTGGGTCAAGAAATGTGCCAATATCACCACTTAGTTTAAACCTTCCAAATCCCAAATGGTGAGGATTATTATTCCAACTTCACAATTCAGAAAACTGAAGCACAGAGAGGTTGCATGGCTTGCCCAAACACATACAGCTAGTACATGGTGGAACCAGAGCTATAGCATGGGGCTGTCTGAATCCAGAGGCATTTTCCTACTTGTGCTTCTATTAATTGATCTGTACTAATCACATTATAACTCTAAGACCCTTCCTTCCTTCAGAGGCAACCCCTAGAGTCACAATACTACATAAATAGAGGCAAAGACTGTTTAGCTAGCCGATCTTTAGTGATGTCATTGACCACATCACATACCCTACACAGTAGGAGGCAGGCGAAAGTTCCAGCCCAAGACTGACTCATGGAGAGAAAGGTTGCAAAGGTTTATGAGTTCCCAGAGTGTAATAACTTCTTAAATCTTTTCTCTCTCCCTTCCCAACATGTCTAAGTAAGCACCCATGAGTCAGCCAAGGAGGATGTAAAAACTTGATCAGGAGCTGAAGCTGCTGTGTAAACATTGCCCTAGATCCTGAGAGCTCTTACCTACGTTTCTGAATCTGACAGCTTCCTCTGATAGGCTACCATTCCAAACACCAAATATCCCACTCCAAGGCTTATATACCAGACAGGGGATAACAGACATCCTTCACTTCCCCTTCCTATATCTCTGTTTCAAGGGACTATAAATGAGTCTAGTGTTTATAGACAGGTTTAACAGAAATTCATTCATTTCATAAATACCAAGAACTGTATTAGACACTAAGGATACTATAGAGAAAACAACAAATTACTTGCATGGAATTTTTATGCTAATTGGGAAGACACATATGGGTCAAATAATCAGATGAAGGTATACATCATGTAAACTGGGAGGAAGAAAAACTGGGTCTATGAGAGGAAAAAGGGGAAAAGAAATCAGAGAAGACTTCCCAGAGGAGGAAACATTTTGAGTTACAAATCTAAGATGAGTGGATGGGGAGTAAGAGGAAGGGAGAGTATTCTAAGAAGGAAGGGGTCAGAAGGTGCAAAGCCTTGTTGGTCCTATAAGGAGTTGAGATTTACCCTCAGAGTTAATATAGTCTATTAGCCCAAATGGAAAATGATATATAGAAGTCATCATAAACGTATTTCTGTACATTACCTGCCTGAAAGTAAAGGTTCTTATCTTCCTCAATTTATTTATTTCTTTTTAATTATGAAAAAGTTAACTCATACAAAAGTAAAGTAGTAGAATGAATTTCTGTATTCCCATTATCTAGCTTCATTAGTTATTAACTCATGTCCAGTCCTGTTTCATTTATATACGACCCACTTTTCCCATACAAAATTGAAGAAAATCCCAGCCATCATGTCATTGCATTCACAAATCTTTAATTTGATTTAAATATCTAATCACTACTTGCTTAATAACATTATACTTCAACAATCTATGTGTTTATGTATTTGTTTCACTCATTAGGTTATAATTCCCAGTGTAGCAGAGATTTTTATATACATAGTGATTGATTTCTATGTACCCAGCTTCTAACTCAGGGCCTGGCTCAAGGAGGGACTTAATGGACAGTTGTTGATGGAATGAATGAACATACAGTCAGAAAGTGCTAGTAGATTGATCAATGTGCCTTATGTGCCTTAGTTATGGATTCTTGCACCCTAAAGAATAATCTACGCTGGGCCAATGGGAATTTTCCATGGAACTTGCTGGGACTGTTAGAATAGGGTGGTCATGACAGAAGAAGCAGTGATTAAAAGTGGAGCTAAGAAATAGAGAAAAGAGAGCAATAAAGTTATGATGGCATGACTTGAGCTCTTATAATAATAGAGGTTGACATTCACTGGGCACTTACGTATTAGGCACCATTTTTAGTACTATTTTAATTCTTATAAACACTTTATACACAAGAAAAAGGTGAGGGCAGACAATTTTTATCTCTATCATAATTTTTTCTTACTTAAAAACAGTCCCAAACAGACTGTGCGGTAGAAGACAAAAAAATCTTTGCCTTCAAAACAAACTGCATTTTGGTGATAAACCTTTGAGCATTTTTTCAGCAAGTATGCTGAAGTTTTGAGGACAAAGAAAAGTTATTTTGTTGAGAGAAATAGATAAAGGGGAAATTAATTTTATAATTATTTTTTATCCATTCTCATTAATAAAATTTAAATACAGTGTTTTTAAGAAAGCAAATTGCTCTTTAGATCCTGGGAAGTGTTTTGTGAAAGGGCAATGATTACTTCTTGAAATGTTTAGAGGAAAGATAATTTCAGCTCCAGAAACTGACTCTTAAGTTAATATTTACCCCTTCATGTCTGGATAAATTCAGATATGTCACAGAGGCTATAAGAGGCTGGAAGAAATTAGGTTAATAGATATATGTGGCTTTCCTTTCAAAGAGATACAGAGTGTTTGATCTTATTTGATCTATTCATAAAATGCTTACAAGAGATGATTAAAATGGCCTCATTCCTGGTCTCCTGGTCTCCCAAGCCACCCCCTAAAAACATATCTAGACACCAAAATCACAGATTTACCCTTACTCGGATCCTTCCATGGTGCATTCTGCCTGCAGAATCAAATCCAGACTCCCCTTTACATTAAAAGAACCTGTGCCCAGGCTAGGTGGCTCAGTTGGTTGGAGCATTGTCCACACATCAAAATATTGTGGGTTAGATTCCTGGTCAGGGCAGATGCCTAGGTTGCAGGTTTAATCCCTGGTTGGGGCACACATGAGAGGCAACTGACCAATGTTTCTCTTTCACATTGATGTTTCTCTCTCTCTCCATCCCCTCCCCTCCTACTCTCTCCCTCAAATCAATAAACATACAGGTAAAGATTTTTTTAAAAAAGGACCCTATTATATAGGTCCAACTAACCTCACCACACTCTCACTTATCTATCACTTTTTTGAGCTCCT